ATTATTATTGAACAAAGTTATCTAACCCACTGAGTGTTAAATTATGACGTGCACTTTCCACCTGTCAGGCACCTTCAGTTTAGAAAGTCAACTTGAGCACAAACTGGTTCTCCACTCTCCTGGAGGGAGAAACAGGAAGAATGACTCGTTTTCTAATGATGATTTCCTTTGCGTAGATCGAGAAAATGAGCGATCTCTTGAGGAGCTGTCACGCCTTTCTTCAGCACCCAGCTCGAGGAAAGCCACTGTGAAGAAAACCTATGTAGTCTCACCTGTGGTTAAGATGGCTCACAGTGCACTTAACAGGAAGAGGGAGCAGCAACGCATTGAGCGGGAGAACCTGGTGAGTAACAAGGCTTTGTTGAAAACTTATTACTTTACATTTATTTGTTGCCATTAATCAGTCTGGAAAGTTAAACACAGACATTCACGCTATATAAAGACAAAGAGTCATTGTTTAGTTTGCCTTTTTCTGCCCTTTTATTTTCATGCATTGTATTTAAAATTCATTGGCTATGGGTTACAACCAAAGTTAGAAGTATAAAGTTATGAGTCAATTATTTATTGCGAGACATGCTAATTTCTTTAAAATGTTTAGATGACTTGTTTAGATGTGCCCAAGCTGTTTGACATTTAATGGATGACTAGAACGATTGCATTTCACCCACCATCTTTCATGCCAGACTTCTAGACTGATGTTAAGAAATGAAAACATTGTAGATTTTTTAATCAAACTTTGAAACTAACAAAATGTGCAGTGTCATGTGATGTTGGCAGATGTTCAGAGTGTTGTGAATGACTCCCATCAGGTCAATATCTGTAAAGTTAACTGAGTTGAGTTATTTTGCTTAAACTGAATTCAGTAAAATTGCTCCCAAATGCTTGATCACTTTCTACCATTGGTTGTTGGTGGTGTGCTAAGAACATTCTACATTTTTGTTTTTAATTAGCAAATACAAGCTTTTAAAAAACACTCTTCTTCTTTTAAATTAGGCAATGAAGAAAAGACTGGATTCAGTCACGCCCACACATGGCATGAGTCGTGTAAAGCAGCTGGCTGACTATCAGCGCCTCACTGACTATAATATAAAAGCTTTATCACGTTTCTTTATTACACACAGTGAGAAAAAAGAGAGGTAGCAGGAGGACGTCTTCAGGTAGGTTTGATCCAGATCTGCTGACTTATACAGAGGTGATGCTTTAAAATTTAAGTATATTTTAAAGTATATGACGAATTCATGACTGAGTACTACTTATATATCTTCCTCACATCAGCTTCACTAACAAGAATGTACAATCCTCTTCATCTTAAGCCCAGGTTTTGAGTCACTCAGTCAGTAAATAGAAAGGTTTGATAGGTAACTTGTGCAGCAGAAAACTGCAGCCGTTCACACAAAAATCTGTGCTTTTAACTATCATAACATCACAGTTTCAATGTCAATCATGTTTATTTTTGAGCAGTCTTAGGTGGTTTGTGTTTATGTCTAATTAAAGTACACAAAGAGAACCTGCACAACATTTTTCTCAATCTGAGGCAGCAGATTTCTCATGTCTGAGCTGCTGCTTCCAGAAGGCAGCAGGGATTTAATTAACACAAAGAGAGGTCATTCAGGCAGTTTAGAACAGCTGTGGGCTCTTGGAAGCATCACTCATCTATTTATAAAACAGTAACTACTTCACTCTTCCCATGCTTATTATTGGATTTCTTTTTGATTATAGTATTTATTTTCTTTCTTTGCTTNAAAAGGAGCAACAGAAGAAACTTTATTTTTTGTTTTCTTGACAAACTACTGTCTCCAAAGAAAAGGCTGGCTGCCACGACACAGTCACCAATGTTTTTATTTTATTTTACTTTTTTACCCTATTAAAATGCTACTGCTTAGGCTACCAGCTGGTTAAAGAATCAAATATCCAATGTGACATAAAAAGGATGATTCATATATTGAGTTGAATCTGTCTCTAAAATAGTTATGAGTTCATTTATGTTGTTTAAAATATGTTTAACAACTTGCAAACACACCAGACTGCAGGAAACAGCACCTACTTCATTCAAAATGTTCTGGGGGAGAACCCCAGGTCCCCCTCCCACATTATAGCAGTAAGGATAAATATAACAGTAGCACTTATGTGAAAGAAATAATAACTGTACAATCAAAAAGAAAAGGTGGGACTGAAAAGGTGAGGAGTATAAGCAACATTTACATTTAATAAACATCCAGGTGTCATCCAGAAGCTATTTTTAAAGAAAAAAAGTTTTTTTTAGGCTTGCAGATTAAATTTGTTCAGTATGCACTCAATTTATTTCTTGACTAAACTACAATGATTTGTTATCGTCCTGATTTCATTTTAACTTTGCCTATTTTAATTTACATTTTATTATAGTCATTTTAACTAATATTTCCTTTTATATGCATCATTTCACCAGGCTCCATGTTTTGTTCTTCTTTACAATAAAGCTTTTGTTTAAAAAAAGGACACTCAACAGTCAGATAGTGCTTTTTAACTTTATTATAAACAAAGGAATGTGCAATTTATTGAATACAGAGCACTTGTGAGCTGAGCAGGATGTATTTATAAATTTGAGCCTCTCTAGAATGTAACTTGGGTGTGTACGATAATTTTCCTCAAAATACGAAAATTCTGAGCTGCTGATACGATAATTCAACATTTCCCATCTGGCAACCCTGACCGGGCAGCGAGCAGGCAGTCGTTGTGCCGAGTCCCAAACGAGAGCGCGGCAGGAGTCCGTGAACAACTCCAACTTTTAATTTATGCGAGCCGAACCGAGCCGAGTCACCGTGTAGCGTCGGGTTGTTTTCACCGTCTTTATGCGCTCCCTCCATCCCGGACTGGCTTAGTTTCACGGCGGCTCGTTGTTTTCGGTCTTGTTCGGAGGCTAAATCTGTTTTGGTACCGAAATAAAAAGAGAAGAAGAAGAAAGCCGCAGTCTCTTATGTGTGTCCAACCTCCCTTCAGCTACAGAAACTCAGCGAGGTAAGTCGTGTACTATAGTTTAATAATAATAGTTTTTGTTGTTGTTTTTAATAAGAACCTCACTAATCAATGAGTACCAGTGGGTCAGTCCCACAGGCAGCTTTACACTGTTTTCTGTAAAACCTTGTTCAACCACATTCATTCAAAACGGTCCAGCTTTCATTGTGAACAGGTCTGAGCTGCTCCATGTTGCTTTTTGCACCAATGTAGGTTTAAAATAGTGACTTTTCTACTTTCTACAGATACTTAGACGTCACATTATGGTTTGTGAACGTTTTGGCCACATCTTTTAATTTGGTTTAAAGATACTGATTGCAATGTCATATAGACCAATCAAAAATAAATAAATAAATTAAAGAAAAGTTATGAAATATAGTTTTTCCCCCTGATATTGTTGGCTTAAGTTTCCTAAATTAGCCAAAGTTGTAGCTACTTTGTGCGTTTGCTTGAAAATATGTCAATATTCACTCTTTTTCTGGAAAATATACTGTAAAACATAACTAACTATGGGCAGTCTGTAGTAGATTAGGTTAATGAAGTGACTGAAGTGTGTGGTTCTTAAGCAGGTTCAGCCAAATGCTTTGTTTACATTGTTTACACACCCACATTTCAGTATTGCATGCCAATGTACAGTATGTGGGAAAACTACGAGAATAAACTATTAAACTGCACCGTTTGATGTACTTCAGAGTAATCTTTTTATGTTATAGTTTGCAGTAAGTGTCTTTTTAATCAGAACGATTTGGTTGGCAGGTAGATATCAATCAAACACAGCATAGGTTAGATTAGTATTGTCTTGCATAATAGACATATTTGATTAACTCACTGTAACTCGTGTTTACGATAAAACGTTTCAGGTTTCCTTCACATCACTCCCAGCCAAAACACAAAGAAAAGACAAAAGATTAGAACGATTTTCGACACAAGGCTTTAAAAGCCCAAAATTGCTGGAGGCATTTAGAGTGCAAAAATTCAATCGCAGCATTCCCGAGGGAAGGGCTCTCCGGCGATTTATAGCATCCTTCTTGGAGAGAAAACAAAACCACATGCTGTTTTCATCCACGGGTTCAGAATAGAATTGCACGGCGAGCCTTACTTATTAACTGAGGTGGAATAGTTAAATATTGAAGAGCTTCAGACGTGCTGTACTCATTCCTACCCACTGAGCAGTTTGTGAATGAAACTTTTAAGACACTTGTAGTTTTTATTAAGATGATGATTTACTCAGGCTGTAAAACACTTGACAGGTTGACTTGTATTACTGCCTGTGGGCAAACAACGACCTAAGCACTTAATGTGTCAGAAGTCTTCAGAATCACATCAGTAATATAGGAGCAAATATCACTGAGACATTGTTTAAAGGTCTATGTTTTTTTTTTCTTTGCAGCCTCGACGGAGCGATTGACGGGACTGCATGGATCTGACTGAACATGAAGAGCCTTAAAGCCAAGTTTAGAAAAACTGATGTAAGTACGCAATACTGTGCTCATGACTATGTAAGCTGTGTGTGCACATGTGTAGGTCTGCCTGTATGAGTCAGTGTCTGTGTATGTATGGCTTGAGAAGTTGTGAGAGACTATTGGCAGAATCTCGCAGCTGAAACTCTTGTTCAGATCTGTTTTAGGGAAACTGAATTATTTTGGAAGAATTGAATAAGCTGTGCTTATTGACTAGGTCTGAGTTATCCATTTAGAGATCTTTTTGAGCTCTTTTAAACAGAAAAAAGTAAATCATTTGTTGATTTTTCTTTTGCTTGCCATGAGAGTTTTAAAGGGTATTAAGGTTATTATGCAAAATCAACTTTTTTGAGCTTTATATCATGTTATATTGTCATTCCCTCATCAAAATGTACCCAGAGTGTTACTTTTATTCATTCATGCATGTTTGAGAAACCCTTAAAGGAAAGCCATGTGGAGCTGCCTAAACGCTTGCTGGTACAAAGCTTCGCCTATTTGTAACGTAGCTCCTCCCTGGAACTCAGTCTGCAGCCAAGCTCCCACCCCACAGACCACCCCTCCCCCTAAGCTTTGTTGTGAAGATTTGCTGAAGTGGGAGTGTCAGAAATGGTAGGAGGTTCTTAAAGACACAGAGCCCAATTCAAAACCCGTGATTCATGATATGATACAGACTTTTATATAAACTGACAGCACATAAAACCGCACTTTTTCTGATTAAGTCACTTTGGAAAGCAATGGCACAGTGTTACAGATTCTTTTTTTTTTTTTTTTTTTACAGATTAGTCCCACAAAACCTGCAAATATTTTCACATTCTCCGACAGAGAACCTTTTCCAAATCCCGGCAGGTTATGAATCAGACTTTTTGGGAGGAACTTCTTCCCTTTCGGTTCAGTCATTCATTTAGTCCCGGTCTGAGATGTTCTGCACTCACAGGAAGTGAGGCGTCTCCACTGTGTCTGACTCATATGCCGTCACTGTGACCTCCTAATGACACAGAGCCAAACGGCAGACAGGAAAAGTCTGACAGGCTGCATGATAAAAGAGACAACTTTTGCGAGGGGGGTTGCGGGGGGATGAAAGGTGTGTCAGAAGCAGAGGAGTCGGCGAACAGAGGGAAGAGTGCCAGGCAAATGAGACATTTGGTTTATGTTGACTGTTTCCAGGAGATTAGAAGTGTGTGGTGAGCTCTGGTTAAATGGTATGTTCTGCTGAAAATGGGAGAGACTGTCTCACAGAGGAGGAATTAGGTGGAGTTCATCCCTGCCTTTATTCACTTACGCGCATTGCAAAATATAGAACAAACCAAGTTTTTTTTCTGTAGAAACTGAGATATCTGCTTGTAGGTACAAGTCAAAGCAGACTGATGTGTGGTCATATAAGAAAACTACAGATCTGCCTAACACTAGTAAGGTAAATTGGAAATTGAGTCGTCTTTCTGAGGGCGTTCAATGGTGTCCATTGTTCACGTAAATAGGCCAGAATTGCCAGGTCAAAATGCTTCTTGTTCATGATTAAATTAATTTGTATTTCACCTTTACCGCTACTTTTCCTGTCAAAACTTGTCATACAGATCCATTCTAAACTGTTGGAGTTGCAGGTGAATCAAAACCCTCGTTCTCATAAAAAACAGCGAGTCGTAGGCGGCGTGAGAAGAAAAGGGAGAAGCTGTGGATGTTGCTTAGAAACACAACCGATGCCACATCATGCCTTTGCAGACCTCCCACTCATACATCGCTGCTATTTGCCTGGGAAATGTATCAATTTGACTCTAATTTAATGAAAGAAACCCCATGTTTTTGCATCTGTACGTTAATGTAATGCAGTTTAATCAAGTTTTGTGTGAAGTCCGTAGCAATCTCACTGTATATACGCAACACTGCTTACACTGATGGAAAAAGTGCATTGAATACACACCGTTGTTTTTAAACTTTCAAGATTTGATCATTTCTGTTCTGTCTTGGTTACCAAAACCTAAGAAGTGAGCCGTTTTAATAAAGCTGAACCCCACATACTAAAGTCTATGCTAGGTGATTAAAATTAATTGGTGTAAAAAGAACTGTTTCACAATGTGACGTGTTGTAGCTTATAGTCATTCCACAGCTTTTTATAGAGCTCCAGAACAACCTAAATAGAAAGAAAACATCTCCTGGGTTCTATTTTAGGTTGTGTGTGTCAGTGACAGATTATTGAGGAATGTTCCCCCCTAAAAAAAACAGCCTTCATTTTCCCCCTAACAAAATAGCAGAAATCTAGTGCCATTGTAAATACCTTCTTGATGAAGTAAAGACATTTTCAGTCAGATAATCCTTATTAGAATCTGTGGTTGAGATTGAGTTTTTTTTAATGATGTTTCACTTTAACTATCCTCCTCCAGTTGAGTGGTCTGAGTGCATCAGTCAGCCAAAGGCTCCAGTTGAACACCTCCACGACATCAGGTCTAAGTTAAAACAGGCGTTCGAAAACACGAGACTGTGGGAGCGAACGAGACGTGTTGTTATTGTAAGTGATATGGACGTATAACAGCTCCGTGGTGACAGCGGATGATAACACTGTGATTTTTATGGAGGGATTGTGATGTAAAGTTACACAGGGAGCAGGACATCATTCCAACTTCCTTTTATATCAGCAATAGACTTCGTTATTAAAATAGTTTTCAACTCGTGTCAACAAAAGTTCAAGAATGACTAATTAACAGCTAAGTGACTTCTGTTTTAGTGGCTCAATCATCAGTCATAACACCAGTGAACTGTCAGAAATGTTATTAAACCTGTCTTGTCAGAAATATTCTGGGGGTCATGATGACATTTTTCAACAGCGAACTCAGAAAGGATTAAACATTCAGAATGCATTTAGTCGCATTTATTTCACCTTTTTTGCTTCTCCATGATTTACCAACCAACAGGCTTGTTTTAAATATTGTTTGTTCCTAACATGAAAAATAATTAAATGCTGAATGAAAGCTGGAACCTTCTATTCCTTTGTTGTGGTACAACCATGATATAAAGGAGTTTGAACAGTATGTCTCTAACAGCGATAGGATGGAGAGAAATACAGATTTCCTCATCTATCTTTATATTCCCGGCTCTTTAAAGTGTTAGTTTTGGATTAGGATTGTCCATACAAATTTTGAACTTTATACTAATAATAAAACAATGCACAAAAAAGATTAAATAATAAGCATAATTAATTTTTATTCAACTTCTCCAAATACTTTTTTTTACCAGAAGCTCGAATCAACCATCCATCCATCCATCCATCCATCCATCCATCCATCCATCCATCCATCCATCCATCCATCCATCCATCCATCCATCCATCCATTTTCTATACCCGTTGGTCATTTCTAGGTTGTGGAAACATGCTTCTTGTCTCCATTAGGTGAAAGGCAGACTACACCCTGAACAGGATATTAACCTAAATCCCCTCTGGGCATTCTTTTTCCCCGCAATACATTGCTTTGCACATGCTTTATTACTTAGTGAGATTATTGCTAATATTACAATTTGACTTGATGTTTGGAATTGCACGAGACATAAACCATATATGACCTGTCACGTCAAATTTGTTTTTCCTTTCACAGTTTTGAGACAAAAAAGCTTTTTTTTCTTGACGTAAACATAGGGGTCAATTTTTACCCCAACATCAGAGATTTTCTAGTTAATAACATTGAAAAAAAAATATATAACAAATGTGAGATGTGTTCTAATACCTCTCCAGGACAGTTTGATAAAATAAAAATTGATTATTTTTATATTTAAGATTCATTTAACCTTTTTTGACTGCGTATGAGATGAAAGCTGAAAAATGAAAATCCCAGGATGCCACATTAAAAGTATTAAAACCCCAATTTTTATGGATAAGAAGGCCTACAAGGTAACCACAGGTTGTGAAACTAATTTGGCGATAAAATATTTGGGGGGATTTTGGGTCGAAAAGCCAGAAATCTGAAAATGTGCTTAATTTAATTTGGCCTAACATGACTTAATCCCTGATTTGATGTGATGAGGTACATATAAACTAGCTTACATCTAAACTGCAGACTCTGAATAGATTGTGTCACCACTAGGTTAAGCAAATCAACTTTCCCAAATGCTAGAATGTAAATCCTCTGTGAAGCTGAGCAGTGTGTGTTCTCTACTCTTTATGTGCTCGTGCAGGTTTATCATTAAACAGTGGTAATTGGTGCACAAAATTAGGTGAGGAAAAGTCAAATGTGTAATTTCTTTAGATAAATAATAAAACAGCGACAAATATTTAATATAACATTTACACATATACGATCGTTAGGCGTGCGATGTGGGTCGACCTTTGCCAGATTTGATTTGCCCGATGAAATTCTGGGCATACCAACGTCTAACAGGGAGGTTGATTTTATCAAGCTGTGAGCAGGTGTGTTTTTATGCAAGGCCGAAGGGAATTAGAGGAATTCTTTGAGGTGTGTAGCTCTGCGTGTGTGTATGTGTGTTAGACTGCATCTGTGTGAGCGTGCCGAAGATGGAGCGGCGTTTGAAAGCCTAATCTGGTTTCTGGGAATGAGTTTGGAAAATAGCCACAGAGAGAGAGAGAGAGAGAGAGAGAGACATGCATTCTTGCTCCGTCTTGCATCCACAACGTCCATAAACATCATCCTTGATATTGTGTAAGAATATTTTATATGAGTTCAGTTCAGACATGCCACCTTTTTTTTTTAATGCAATTGAACAACAGTCCAATCCTGGTCCTCGAGGGCTGCTATCCTGTGTGTTTTACTTGTTTCTCTGGTCCAACACTCCTGATCCAAAGGCTGAATTACCTCGTCGTGTTCTGCAGAAGCCTGTTAATCATCCATTCATTGAAATCAGGTTTTGGAGCAGAGACACATCCAAAACATGCAGAATAGTTGCTCACAAGGACCAGTATTGGACACTGCTGGAAACTAGCTTTAAATGTTTTCTGTTTTGTTGGAATAAACACATTTCAGTTAAGAAAATAAAAGTAAATTTATGCTTTAAAATGTGCATTTTGTTCTTCATACTTCTCCCCATAAACATCCAAGCTGCTCTCACATTGCTTAAACCTGCTCCCCCAACTGCTACACTTATCAGGATTACTTAAGGCTTACACACAGACACACACATGCATGAGCACAGACCAGACAGCAGACACGCACACACCCTCCCCTTATCACCCTCTCTGTGTCTAATTGATGTGTGGATTAAGTCGTCTCCTCTCACGCCGCACAGCTTTTTCGTAGCTTGAATCAATCAAAGCTGCCAGACAATAAAGTTTAAACTGTGCGTTCACTGTTTTGCTGAATTCGTTTTGGCACCTTCCAAACGTTTAGGGTGTTAGTGTCGCTGTGTGAACACGAGAGGAATGGAGTCCTCCTTATCTGGAGTTATGAAATGTGTCTGCTGTGTTAACTGGAGCAGAACAGCAGAGGACATCACATGCTGATCATCTGAGAGCATTTCTAGAAAAATGCCTTGTTTGTTTAAAAAACATTGAACCATAATGGTTTTCAGGATTCACACATGGCTTTTTTCTACTGAAGATAATAAAACATTAAACAATGGCAAAAATAGCTTCTCACACTCAGGACTTTAGCTATAGATGGCTTTTTTAATTGAACGATTGCCTGAGGAACCCTCGCTTGGCTGTGCTTTATTTGGACGAGTCAGACTTGGTTTGGCATGCAATGGTTTGTTCTGGCTGGGATCAGTGGAAGACTGTTAGTACTGGGAGAGACAGTAAAACCTCTGGGACTGCCCTGGAAGGGTAGGTGGAGCATCTATGTGTCATCAATCGTCAGCAGGATGTAGCACAGCCATCCAAAGGATAATTATGACACTTCTTCCATATACCCGGATGGTAGGCTATTCACATAGTCATTACCATTGTTAAAAAGTACAAGGTTGCAGATATTCCTATTTTAATTTAATGAATAGTCTGTAGTTACCACACCACTATTTCCATCTGACTTTCAGCCCACTAATAATTAGAGCAAAAACCTTATAATGGATGATTTAATGCCAAAAATCATCATCCACATTAGGTCTTATTTTTGTCATATTAGTACCCATGAATATAAGTGAAACTAATGCTAGATACATTTTTTCCACAACGATCCATTTTAAATACCGTAGGAACTTCTTTTGGGATTTATTTATTTATTAGGTGTGTACTTGAACTACAAATACTGAACCATAAAACCTGCTTGTCAGCACATTTCTGAAATGCTCTGTGGGAAATGAGTGATCCTGGTGTGTCCTGGCCATTGTATGTATATTAGTGTGTAGGTGTTATTTTGTGTATGAGCTGTTCTTTGGTCTAATGTGCTGGTGGAAGGTACTTGTCTGCTACCTTCGCTGAGTATTAGTTCAGTATATAGGAATTGTTTTGGATGTATGTATTTGTAATTGGCAGTTTAAATCTGAATGTAGTATGACATGTAAACTGCACTACTATGTCAACAAGGTAAAAACACAAACCAGTGGATGCTAAATAGTTTGTTTAGAGCTGCTTAAAAAGGATCTACTTCAAATAGGAACTTCCTTAGGGATTTATTTACTTATTAGGTGTGTACTTGAACTGCAAAAACTGTACCACAGAACCAGCTTGTCAGCAATTTTATGAAATAGAAAAAGGCATGACTAATCACTAACAAAATAGCAAATGGTGTAACTTATCACTGATAGTGCATTAGAACAACAATCAGAAGCAGATAATGTGAGGCAGGGGAGTTCAAACGAAAGTTAGACAGAAAAGGGGAGCTGGACAGACTTAGACTTCCGTTCATGATAGTACTTGCTTCCTTCAACTTCATCTTCTGCAGAGCAAAGGATTGTGGGTACAGCGAGTGCAGTCAACCAAAAAGCTTGCATTGCAGATTTATCAAAGATGCACTTTGCATAGGTGGAACACTAATTTATTAGAGGTTTAAAAACTGGACTGATAAAGAACAGATCCTAAGCATCTGAATGAGCTTTCTTTGTAGGTGGTGGGGCTCAGCCTTGGAGAGGGTGAGGAGCTTTGTCATTCATGGAGAGCTCATAGCAGAGATATTGCTCCTCTGCAGTGAAAGTCAGGACATCTGGTTAAGATGCCTCCAGGATGCCTTTTGGAGGTTTTCTGGACCCGGGGGAAGATCCAGAACTTCATGGAGAGATTATCCCCTCCGACCTCCCTGACTTTGGGACTTCACAGAAGCAGCTGGGGAGGATGGATATCTGGGTTTCTGCACTGGATCTCCTCAACCTGATCATGGATAAGCAGTAGAATATGGAGACATCACATCCATTTCCATAAAAAGAATCTGTTAAAAATCTAAACCATGGGAGGTGTAGAACAGTATGGAAAGGTTGTGAAAATGGAATTCTGTCTTAGGCTCAGTTTATCCTGAAAAGTTAAAAAAAGAAAAAAATGCTTCATAAAAGCATTTCACTGATTAACGTGTTAATTTTTGCAAAACGTATTTGATCACAATGATTAGTAGGATTTTATTTTAGTTCCATAGCAGCAACATTCAGGTTTATAAAAACAACTTAGGAATTGTTTAACCATCCAAGTACTATTTTCTAAAGTGTTTTGCTTTGAGCTCAACATAATGACCAATGAGACTCTGTAATGTTTGTCTTTTTTAAATTGAACTCAATACACTTTGCCTGCCTGTATGGGTGTGTGTTTGTGTTTGTACTTGTTTCTGCTACAGAGTGAGGACCACTTGCAAAATATTTAGTAATTGGGGTCTTTGATGTAAAGTGAGGACCTTGTCCCAGTCCTCACTTTTTTTGCAGCTCTACTGCGCTCTACTGTTTAGGTTTAGAGGTACGATGTGAATTAAGTTTTGGTTCAGGTTAGGGTTAGAAAAATGCTGGTTTGTGTTAGGGAAAATGTCTGGGTTTGGCATAAATGCAGTTACAAAAATGAATGGAAGTCAATACAAAGTCCTCAGTTTGCAAGAACAAGGAGTGTGTATGTATGTTTAAACTGCTGGCCTTATCTTGACTTAAATAAGTGATGCTGTTTTGATTTTTTTTTCCTACTTCAATGACTTTATGAGCAGCTTCCAAGTTTAATGAGCCTGGTCGCTTTCCAAACCCAACAGTGTTTATTTATAGGGCAGGAAAGGCTATTTGTATCTGAAGGAAGTTTTGCACGAGAACTAATTTAGTTTTTGCCAGCAGTCCTTCTTGCCATCGTAATGGTTCCATGTTGGGCATTTCCCTTAGCTTTTAGTTGAAATTTGAGTAAAGGAAAGAAGAATGCTGAAGAATAAAAATTATTTACAAGCCCCTTTTATTGTACTTTAAGGAAGTGGTAACATTTAATGTACCTGAGACACAAATTACTACGTGTTTAGTAAAATTCATTTAGTTTAGAAATTTGGAAAATTTCAGTTTTGCACCTATCCTCTTCTTACAGCGTCACAATACTGAAACATGCAGTTTGGCATCGTCTTGCCGAAGTAAGGCCTTTTTATGATAAGACATTGAAGCTCTTTAGTTGTGTGGTGAAAACATGCTGGGATTTCTCTTTTAAAGTCTGAAAGTTGAATTGTTTATGATTTAAAAAAAAATCTTTTAGTATTTGATTTCTTTGAAAACATGACCATTTATCTTTTCGATTTGTTCAATCAAAAACAACAAAGTTTTAACTTATTTATGACATTCATTTCAGGATGAGTAAACAGTTTTAAATAAAATAACTTTTGCCAATAATTTGATGCTCATAGATGTGCAGTTGAAAGGATTTGCAAACTGCAGTGGTGTTTTGATTTTAATTTTACACAAAATCAAAATGGAATTGTAATATATATTTTTCTTAAACATAAACATACTGATAGATTTGACTGTTTCTTTTGTGAAATTAAAGGAAACTTAATTAGGGCTGCAAATTGGTTTTGCAGTTTTATCAAGAGTGAGCGCAAAATCAATATGACGATGCTGCTTGGACTGCAATAAATCCTAGACCATTATAATTCAAGTTTCAATCTTTCATCTTTTGCATGTTAATAATACATTATTCCGTCAATCCAGCAGATTGATGCTGACACCTGATCAATGGATTATAGTAACTGACAGAAGATAAAGTGAGAAATGAAGAAAACGTTGATTTATTGCAACTGATTTCGTCCCATTTCAAACAATAATATTGCAAGTTTTTTAATTGCCCTGCAGCCCTAACATAGCAACACATTTTAATTTTATTTAACAGTTTTGTAACCCATTAGTAAGTAATTTATTTTTATTACATTTATAATTAAATAAAGCTTTCTAATTATCAGTCGTATTTAGTTGGCATTCAGTGTTAAAACTGCTGTTTACTGGTTATTTAAAACAAACAAGTCTAAGTACTGTTCTGGCTCTAAAGAGAGCTGCACTTAGTCTGAAAAAGATCGATCCCAAATGAAGTTTATAAAACTTTTGAAGCGTTAAGTTAGAGGGGTGATATTTTTCCTGACATCAGCATGATTCTGGTGGTTTGAGTCTAAACTACCCACCATTAGTTTGGCACATCCAGATTTCTTACTCAATTATTAGTGGTTGAGTTTTACTGCGGCTAATGTGGGTTCTGACAAGGAGGAGGAACGTGTGGAATGCACATGGTTTGGTTTTTATGTTTTGTGCTGCACAGTGATGTAGAAATACCCTGCTCATTTACAGCTTTAAGTCATGTAATGTGTAACTGAACTAGTGTGGGTGGTGCAGGTAAAGATGGAGTATCTCTGCAGTCATCTGTAGATGGGAAATTGTTCCCATGATCTAAACTCATTTCATCATCTAAATATGAGATCCACGTTGGCCAGTGTTGTGAAATAGATGGCAGCGTTTGTCACTATAAGAGCAACCATCTGGTCTTTGTTTAACTTTTCAGCTTACTTACTTTTTTATTCTTGGTTTCAGTGTCTAAACTGTTATGGTGTGTGTGTGCATGCGTGTGTGTGCTTGAGTGTGTTTGCATTACAGAAAGTAAGCAGTCTCAGCTGTAGCCTAAGAGAAAGCTGTATTGTATGGGGACATGTGAGCATTAGCATTAACAGCTGCTGCTGATCAAAGAGCAGAGATGTTCTACATCTGTCAATCTCTCTTTTCATTGCTATGTTTTTTTATTCTGTGTCTTTCATTTTCCTTTTTATCTCGGAGCCTTTTGGAAACAATAGTTTTTTTTCCCTGCATGTAATTCCCTCTAGGGGGTAACATTTTTAATGACCGTTTCTTACCTCCTGCCTGACCTGAATCCCACTGACAGAATAATTCATACTTTCACAAAAGGCAAATGTGGGTTAGTGTGTGATTCTTGGATTGAGGATACTGTTGCTTGTTCTCTGACAAAAGTCCAAGTATTTTAGAGCGGAACATTTTTATCCCACTAATCTTGTGGTTTGGCTATTTTGCTCTCATCATCTTGAGACAAAATAATCTTTTTCATTTGTTTATCTCTTGGCCTTTTTTGAAAACCAGAGATTTAGTAGATAGATTATCTTAATAGATAATAACTTTTTATTCCAGTCTGTTTTCCTATGTGCTTACCTCATGCTGCTTCTTTAGAGCTGACCTTGTTTTTTTTGAAACATCTATTTTCTCCACAAGTAAAGTTGGAAGAACGACGCTGACACTGAAATAAAATGACCTAAGGTTTTACAAAGTATGTTATCGAGAACAGCACACACAGGAAAATGGATGGTTGAAGATGTGTGAAATAAAACATTCAATCATTTAACAGTACACAGTGTGAATAACCTCACGTTTTTTGCTTCCATACAGTGGCTTCTTGTCCTTGCGGTTAGCCTCGGGCCTGGACAAACAGGAAACACTTAGTGTTATCAGCTCATTTTTTGTGAGTGTATCCCAGTGAGTGTCAGGCTAAGTACAAAGAGGGAACACACCCCGAGTCTAACATAAACACACTTACAGCAGAAAAAGTAACGGAAACAGAGGAAGAAACTGAAGGAGAAGCAGAGGGTCAGACGGAAAAGGAGGAAACAGAAAAAAGGAAGGCAACAACACTTCCTGGTTGTGAACATAAAAAGAGTCTTACTACTTTAGTGTCCGTAACCTAATTTAGTTATTTTTTAATAATTAACTGATTAACTGAATACCATCAGACATGGTTTTTAAAATGTACCTATATCAGCTTTTTTGCTTCACGTTTACAAAATTTTACAATAAATAAAGGCATTTGTTTTTGGACCTGTGTGTTTAGTTTTCTGCTCACTCACAGCTACTAACACTATTTTCTTCCAAATTACAGATTCATTGATTTATCTAGTTATTAGCTGCAGTTGGGGTTGGGCGTTATTGGCAAAAAAATTTAATTATTAATTATTTAACTGATAACGAGTAATATGACTGTCTTAGTCACATGACCAATTTAAATTATTGTAGTGGGAAAGATTTGCTGTCCGTAAAAATCAGTTCCAAATTGTGTCAAAAGTACAGACTTCAGGCTATACATCAACTTTTAAATTTTGTTGCTAGACCAAGTAAAACCAGAGTTATGATGCATAAATTACTGAACATTTTTAAAAAAAAATTTTGGTCATATTTGAAGCAGAGAGAAACACCGAGTGGACTGACCGAGGAAACCTCCAGTTACCTGGTGGCAATAATATTAATCGGCAAGAGCCAAAAAATAATCTGTTCAACTTTTTTCTAACGATTAATTGCACACGATACGATTTTGCCCAACCCTGCAGTTTTATTATAAAGAATGCAAGTCTATTTAACTGTGTAGATGAGTAGGAAAATAAATGAAAGACAGATACATAAATAACATTTAAAGTAAAAATCTGTTAAGAATTGTCAATAATCATCAATATTTTCCAGAGTATAGCAAAATTTCTATTTTGAAGTTTTCATTATTTTGTTTTCCTACTTTATAATAACAGTACAAAACTTAAACTATTTTTTTGTTTAATCCCTTTTTTGGCAATATTTCTACCAGCCCATGATATTTACATCAGCCGCCCTGTGATGACATTACGTTTGTACGTGTCCGAAAGTGGAGCAGTGCATTCCGCTCTACTTAAACTTGTCTACTAGAATGTAGTCCAGCATTATCACCACCACGCTGCTCTGTCCTGACTGCCCTTCAGCTCTCAGTTCAGCCTGTGAAACTCCTGCAGGCCTGTCACACGGTCCTACCACACTCTACTGTGCATTATTGTTTTCTCCCTTATTGTAAAAAGTGCCAGCGTGGGTTGTTTATTTTTTGTCCCAAAAATATATATATGTGTGTTTTATAGCTGTTACTTAAGATTACCATTTATAACAAAAAAAATCTCAACAAGTAGAAATGATTAACACCATTTAGTTATAGCACCAGCTTTTTATTTTTTTTATTTTAAAGGATGTTTATTATAAAACGTGACCACAGAGTGCATTTTTGGCACATGTAAGTATGCAAAGGTACAGATTTTTTTTAAAAGGCAAAACGTGTGAGTAATGGTTAATGGTACTAGTAAAAAAGAAAGACAGAAAAAGTTTACCCTTATGTTTGAGTTAAAACAGAAAGATGACTCCACTTCGTACTCACGCACTATTTTGAGAGTTCATATTTGGCCCTGAAGTTCTAAACTCCCTTGAAACAATCTGACAGCTAAAAAGAGCATGAACAAATCGCTGCTGAAGCAAAAGTACAATACACTGTATTCAGAAAAATACTAGTAACTGACTACAGTTACTAGCAGTATACTAAAACATGAATGAAGAAAACTTAGCGTAACATTTTCACAGTTGCTCCTCCCTTTTAGATAATATCCCAACTAGTTTTATTTCATTCAAACTACACGGCACTGTTCTCTTTACTGACTTATGTTTGTGCAGTCACCAGTGGATTTAATCTATTTTAAAGTTAAACTCTGACAGTAACTGCATTTTTAGACTATTTAAAATCTCTTTTGTATCTTCATGAGGCCGACCATATTTCCAGCATGTCTCTATTTAACAGTAATTTTTAAAACAAAATTATCATATTTTTTTAAATGTATGAAGTACTCTCAGTTCATAATCTTTCAATACAAATGCACTTTAAATAACAAGTTGTTTTAACCCTAACCAGGAAAGGTACAGTCCCAGCATGCGTCAGATGATTTATGAAAAATAATTAGGATTATTTTGGAAACAGAAGAATTTTTCAATTAAAAAAACTATTTAATAACATAAACAAAGATTCTTTGATGTTTTTTTTTTTTCAATCCAGTGTTTTTGGCTAAACTCAAACCAGATGAGCACATGTTATCTACACATTTATTTCCATATTTTCACTTTATTTTTTCTAGAATCTGTCAAACTTCACTATGTTTTGTGTTTGATCAAATCAGTGCTTTCTGCAGTGATTCAACAACTTCTGACTAAAAGAAAATATTGAGATTTTCTTCTTTGTGGACAAAAAGGAAACATGGATTACTTTATATGTTTTATTTATTTATTTATTTATTTATTTATTTATTTATTTATTTATTTATTTATTTATTTATTTACCTAATCCCTTGTTCTTGCTGATGACCACGAGTCTCAGGCTGCAGAGCTCAGTGGTCATCCTGGCTGTTGGAGTGATTGAGGGGGTTTTTATAGCCCTGCATTTTTCCACCAGCTGTGCAAAATGTATTGCAGTGGTTGCACTTGGGTGTTTGCCCCAGAGGCTATTTACACCCTCCAGTGCTGTGTTGGCCTATTGCTGCTTCTAAAAAAGGGGGGTTCAGTTTTTCATCACATGGATTAATGGAATCAAAGCTCACCTTCTTCTCGTGCATACTGTCAGTCAATAGGCTATCAGGTCAAATCTAATACTGTACTGCAAACTGATACACACTGGTGGCGATTGGGAGAGCTGACTGCTGAACTGCTGTTGCCAACTCAGAGGGGGCTACGGGTCTAATCCTCTTCTTTCCAATTATATCCTCTCTAAATGCATTTTATTTTGTCTTGAAGACACAATGTTCTCCTGGAGCTAAATTAATGTTTTCGCCTTAGCAGGTGTGTTTGAGTTTATAGCAGTGGTCTGCTCTTAATGCCTGCTCTGTTGTATCTTGTACTTGTTGTGTAGCAGAATTTTCTCTGAATGAGATCATGTTTGAAGCTTTCCAATGGCTGATTTCTCTCTGTTGGTGATGCAAATGTGTGCCCATTTGGTCTGAGTGTGTGTGCAGCATGTACTCTCAGGATGTTGGTTGTGTGTGCCTGTGCACTTATTATTATAACAAATGTTTTGTGCAGGCCACAGCAGAGCCAAAAAAACATTTGCTGTTGGTTAAGAAACATTACTCACATTTTGGGCATTTTCATCAGATTTAGTGGTCAGTCTATTGCAAAACTAAAATCACTAAGTTTGTAAAAAATACTTGGATGACCAGTTATTCTGCATACATGTACAAATATATTGTTTATTCCTTTTGATGTATCTTATTTTGGTTTTCAGGATCTTTTAATCCATTTTTCTGTATTCGCCCCTTTAGGTCAATGAGTGGAACAAAAATGACGAGCGCCTGCTTGCAGCAGTGGAGCACGGCGAGGTGGACAAAGTTGTGTCCCTGCTTAGTAAGAAAGGTGCCAATGCTGTGAAGCTGGACAGCGAGGGCAAATCAGCGTAAGCCATTGTTCTCTATTCAATTAATTTATCTTTGTACAATCAATACAAAGCCCCATTATACTAGCTGACCACTAAATTATGATTGTAAGGCTTAAGTTCTATATTTTTCACGGCTGTGATGTTGAAGTAAAACTGCAGAGAAAAAAAATGTATGGGCAATAAGAGTTTTTGAAAAATGAGAATAAAATGTGAATAAACCTTGGACATGTTTGTACAGTTCAAAGCCTGGATTAGGAGTTATGTCACTGATGTAAAATAAAAATCAAGCATTTGATCAGGTTTGGTAGTTATAAATGTTGGGGGTTGTATAATACAAAATCAACCTTTTTGAGCTTTATATCATGTTATGATGTCATTCCTTCTTCAACAACACACCCAGACTGTTGCTTTGACTCATTCATGCATGTTTGAGAAATCCTTGAATCTCCTGTGGTAGCCACGTGGAGCTGCCTAAACTCTTGCTGGTACAAAGCTCCTCCTATTTACCCTATGCTCCTCCCAGAGCTCAGTCTGCAGCCGAGCTCCTGCCCCACAGAGCACCCCTCCCCTGAAGCATTGTTGTAAAGATGTGCTGAAGTGGGAGTGTTGGAAACGGCAGGAGGTTCCTACAGAAACAGAGGCCAAATTCAAGGCATTTGGATACTATGATGCTAAGTCAAATTTATTTGATATGTACAGCATTTTCATAACAACTGAAGGTAACATAGTTACTTGATGTTGGTATAGAATTGAACTATGTGCCTGGACAAGACATACACTCACCAGCCACTTTATTAGGTACACCACGCTAGTAACGGGTTGGACCCCCTTTTGCCTTCAGAACTGCCTCAATTCTTCGTGGCATAGATTCAACAAGGTGCTGGAAGCATTCCTCAGAGATTTTGGTCCATATTGACATGATGGCATCACACAGTTGCCGCAGATTTGTCGGCTGCACATCCATGATGCGAATCTCCCGTTCCACCACATCCCAAAGATGCTCTATTGGATTGAGATCTGGTGACTGTGGAGGCCATTTGAGTACAGTGAACTCATTGTCATGTTCAAGAAACCAGTCTGAGATGATTCCAGCTTTATGACATGGCGCATTATCCTGCTGAAAGTAGCCATCAGATGTTGGGTACATTGTGGTCATAAAGGGATGGACATGGTCAGCAACAATACTCAGGTAGGCTGTGGCATTGCAACGATGCTCAATTGGTACCAAGGGGCCCAAAGAGTGCCAAGAAAAGATTCCCCACACCATGACACCACCACCACCAGCCTGAACCGTTGATACAAGGCAGGATGGATCCATGCTTTCATGTTGTTGACACCAAATTCTGACCCTACCATCCGAATGTCGCAGCAGAAATCGAGACTCATCAGACCAGGCAACGTTTTTCCAATCTTCTCTTGTCCAATTTCGATGAGCTTGTGCAAATTGTAGCCTCAGTTTCCTGTTCTTAGCTGAAAGGAGTGGCACCCGGTGTGGTCTTCTGCTGCTGAAGCCCATCTGCCTCAAAGTTCGACATGTTGTGTGTTCAGAGATGCTCTTCTGCCTACCTCGGTTGTAACGGGTGGTTATTTGAGTCACTGTTGCCTTTCTATCAGCTCGAACCAGTCTGCCCATTCTCCTCTGACCTCTGGCATCAACAAGGCATTTCCGCCCACAGGACTGCCGCTCACTGGATGTTTTTTCTTTTTCGGACCATTCTCTGTAAACCCTAGAGATGGTTGTGYGTGAAAATCCCAGTAGATCAGCAGTTTCTGAAATACTCAGAACAGCCCTTCTGGCACCAACAACCATGCCACGTTCAAAGGCACTCAAATCACCKTTCTTCCCCATACTGATGCTCGGTTTGAACTGCAGGAGATTGTCTTGACCATGTCTACATGCCTAAATGCACTGAGTTGCCGCCATGTGATTGGCTGATTAGAAATTAAGTGTTAACAAGCAGTTGGACAGGTGTACCTAATAAAGTGGCCAGTGAGTGTATAACTACTGCTTTAAAGTATTTTAGGGCTTTACAGAACTCAGTGGACTGTATGTTCAAGGTTTCTGAAAGTAGTTTAATGCTCTGCAACACAAAGTTAAAAATGAATGACTTCTAAAAATAGACGAGTCTCTTTTAGTTCTCCAAAGACATAGTTTGCAGCCTCCGTGACGTTCAGTGTTTCGAGAGCTGTTTCATGTCCATAGAGGCAGTTGAGCCTCTTGTCTCCCCAGCTGAGTTGTGTTGATAATACGGAGGCTCTGTGTTAATTTTTGACCTCTTTTCTTGTCCTGTACACGCACACACACACACCCTCCCCCAACCTCTGTGTGTTAGAGAGATCACACGGAGCAAGTCCAAATCGAAACACGGGATAGGAAGTACCAGGAAACAAATATGCAGATTCTCACAAAGCCGAAACAAATAGCCCTTTTTATTTCACCACTAGTGCTAATCCTTGACCTTTTCTCTCTGCGCAACTGCAACACAAAAACACACAGGCGGGGGCCATACTCACAATCTCTGTAGATCATGATGAATGTGGTGATTTGGAATCAGAATGCAACAATCTTTTCAGAAGGCACAAAAGAGGGGTCTCCAGTATCTCTATGGTGATAAAACCTGACTGAAAGGCATGTAGGCACAGTTGTGTGTTTCTTTGTGTGTGCAACATAGCCAGCACGTACACATCTGAACAGGGATTTTCTTTTTTCATTCTGTTCACTGAGCTGGATAGGGGTTTTATTGATTGTCCTTCATATGCATATCCACTAATAGGCTTCTGAAATATTAGTGAGAATATTTCTGCATACGATGTGTTACTGAGTTATTTCTGTATCTGAAGCAGTGATTTATTACTATTTTTGTGGTTCGATAGCCAAGTCAAAAGCTTTGCAATTCTAATTTGTTCTTTGGGTTTGAATTTGTGCACAGACTTCATGTAGCTGCTGCTCGTGGCCAAACAGACTGTCTATCTGGGATCTTGTCTCATGGAGCTGACCTGTCAGTCACTGATACTGCTGGTAACGTCTATAATTGTGATAAAATAAAAGAGAATTGTCTAGAGCTGGGCGATATGATCTAAATTTTATATCACGGTATTTTCAACATTTTCATCGGTTTCACGGTATTTGACGGTATTTTTCTTTTCATCACAGCTCAGCTGATAATAAAATGTACAAACCCTGCTTATTGAGTTTTTTCATTTTACTGTACCTCTGTCTGTGTCTCTGTTTCCCTCCTCTGTGTCTGTTCTCTGACTGGTGGTTGGAGACAGTAGTCATGCATTTTGGTCCAGTCGTGAAGGAGGAGGGTTAAGAAAAGATTATGATCGGGTTTATTGTTTTATGTTATTTATTAAAGCTTATCAGCACGACTCACCTTACACACCAGCCAATTCCAACTCCACTACAAACTACTTCCTGCGGGCTTTTCACTATAGAACCACGTTAAGTCTCCATCAGCATAACGTCTCCATATTAACTAACCGCGTTAAATCTAACTGTGCACGTCACTGAAGAGGTGTTTACTACATTCAGCGACGGCAAAAACGAGATGTTTTTTTAAACGTCAGTCAATGTAAGCAGCGGAATCGCCACCCGCAGCTGCAACTAGCTGCTCCAAACATTAGCATGCTAACGCACATAAGCGGTGCAGCAAGGAAAAATGTCCCCCGGGAAACAACAGTTTACTGGCGGCCGCGACGAAACGTTCCGCTATTTAAACCGGAATGTCCGGTATTCTAAAAATTCATAACAAAAATAAAAACTGGTATTCGGTAAAAAACGGTATACCGCCCAGCACTAGAATTGTCTGAAGTCTTTTGTATTGTGCATTGACTGTTGTAGGTTGTTGTTTTTTCTGGATTAAATATTTGTGTTTAATTTATTTTTTAAAAACATCAGGATTTGTTACCTGCTTTATTTTGTTCATTTTTATTCTTTCCAACCTTTCTTTAATTCTTTAAGGTTTTACTCCTCTACACCTGGCTGCCAAAAACAATCATGTGGAGTGTTGCAGAAAGCTCCTTCAGGTAATGTTATTAAACTTGATAAAACGTCTTTGTATTATTAAAATACCGATGTTTTCTGCTTGGTTACATTGTACTGATAGGACCAGTGAAGCAAGAACTGGTTTTGTTTGAGCCAGTATTTAATTACAGGCAGGATTTTTCTTGGACGCAATATTTGTGTGTGAATCAAAAACGTTATGTGTGAGCGTGCAGAGTGTACCATATGAAACATTCAGTGTGAACTCTGTATTCTGTCAAGATGGCTGAAAGCTTTCTCTGCTTCATTTCTTCACACTGCTGGTCGTGTTTTCAGATCAGCACGTCTTAGCAGCAGAAAAGGAAAACTCACACTTTTCCTGCTCTAATTTGCTGATTTAACTATGAATTTGCAGTTTTTATGCCACACAAACCTCTTTGGTCAGTTGACTGTATTGCAAAATGCATATAATTTATGATGGAATACTGTAAAACCTGGATGACTAATCTCTGTTTTGATACAAGCAAGCAAGAAAAAAAGAAAATGACCATTCGCTGCAAAGCATTTCTTTGTGCAATCATTTATCATGCAGTAATTTCCTTAAAGCTCCAATACAAAACAGTCTTTTTTTTTACAGAAATCAAACAAACGTGGTTTTACTGTATATTTATTGCAGACATAGTTAAATAGTCTTAAATGTGAGCAGAAGTTATTTGAACTTATTTAGGTCACTTTCATGCAGAAAAAAATACAATATGATTTATTTGTTTCAAAATATAAATGCTAATCAGTATTTTTTGAACTGCTTCACCTCATAAAGTATTTTTTTTTCTTTTTTAAAACAGAGTAAATGTCCCATCGAAGCAGTGGACAGTTCAGGGAAAACTGCGCTGCATCATGCTGGTAAGTGTCTCAGCAGCTAATTATACAGAAGGGCTTTTCTGTAGAGCCTGTCTGCTTTCTGAAGGACGTGGGAACATTTCTTGCGAGATTAAGTTTAAGCTGTAATTTTATTTGGATAAAAGTTATCTTTCATAGCTCGAATTAAGTGATTTTTTTTTATTCTTAGCCGTTGGTGGGAACATGCAGATTGTTCAGCTGCTATGTGAAGCCAAAAGTCCCATCAACCTAAAAGACGTGGTACGTACTTTTAATATTTCTGCTCTATCTTTCTTTTTTCTGACATGATGGAGGAGGTCTTTGACACAGAATGAAGACCACAGATATGTTCCAAATATTTCCTCAGCTTTGGTATTTCCAGAAGGCTGTTTGAAGTATCTGTGCACGCTTGTATATTTTTCTCAAAGATTTACCTGCTAGCGCCATCTTTATTTACTTTCAAGTGCATTACTTTCTTGTTAGTGAGCATCTTTTTTATGCTCTCTGTAGGTTGTTAGGAGATGAAATCATTTACTGTAAAATCTAAATCATCTGCAGTTATTTCAACAGTTTCCTGCAGTAAAAGGGGGGAACCTTGTGAACTGTCATTTCCTCTCATTTATCATCTGTTTGAAGACGGATTTCTGTGCATGTGTAAGGTAGAAGGTCAGAGTTCTGTGGGAACTCAAGCTGCAGACATGTGGTCTCCATCGCAGTGACAGACCATGCCTGTGGTTTTTACACAGCTGGAATCTGTTGAAAGCATGAAAAAGTGTGTGTTTGTGTTTGAAATTTCAAAAAGGAGGAAAGAAATTAAGAAGTTTCCAGTTTGTTTTCATTTTACTGTTATGCAACTGCCGGCCTGTTGGAAATAATTTCATCTGTAACATCTCATCTAGACAAAAACAGCAATTTGCAATACATGCTGCTTAAAAAAGAGGTACATTTTTTAATGTAACATGTAGGATTTTATGGTCAAATTTCTAAAAAGGTTCACTATTTTCCTTTAATGAAATCATGACATTGCTTTAACACACATGTAATCATGTGTTTGTGTTAGTTTTGAGTTGTCCAGTCGTGTGGAACATAAAGATTTTGACGCTGAGCAGAACATGCTAGCTTGTTGGCCTCGGGCATAAATCATGGCTGGATCATATACCTGCACCAGACTTTATGTTTGGCTTGAAAAAAAACAACCCCGCTCAGTTAAATCAAAAAGAAACAGGAACATCTGTCAGGTCAAACATGTCAATGTCAATTTTATTTCTCAGGCAAGTTTAAAAACAACATGGCTGAGCAAAGGGCTTCACAACTTCAAAAATAACAGGAAAAGCCACCAAAAATATTTCAAAATGGAAAAAATATCACCAACAAAACCCAACAAATACAATAAAATAAGCTAAAATCGAACTAAACTAGGAAACAACATAAAAGACTCCTAAAAAGGGTTAGATTATTAGAAATAAATACAGCTTCTATGTACTGCATAAATAATTCAGTACCTTACCCATGCAAGACTGGAAAAATAATAAAACAAATACTTCCTAATAAGTGACAAACGTAATCATAAAATTAGCTGAATTGTTTCCCCTCAATGCTTGCTAAACACAGTTTGGGATTTATATATTCCACATCCCCGTTGATGGTTAATCCCAATCCTCATGGTGCGTGTTTATTTCAGGCAGTATGGGAACAATTTAAGCCAGGCTGGCACAGTAAACAACTAAACACAGAACAGTGGATTGTAGCACCAGTTCAGTGTCAGGATGGAGTTTCTGATGACGTTTCTTTTTGTACAATAAGAGTTTGGATAAAGTGGTGGAAAACATAAGAATAAAACAATGTCAGCTTCTGTTACTGTGCTGATTGTGTATTTGTTGGGAAAAAAAGAGGAAGTTTAGTTTTAGTCATTCTTAGCTTGAGCTAGAATGCTAGTAAAGCATTATTAACTCATTTCCTTTTAAAGTGAAGTGAACTATGTAACTTCTGATAAGAATTTCCTGGTAACATTAAAGCAAAATGTGAAAATGAAACAAGTTGGACTTTGTGCCTTTTAAGCTCTGTTGATTGCAGCAGGATTTGTTGTTCAGTTTGTAAGGAGATACCAAAACCAGAGAGTTTTACTGTTCTGTCCCTTTACATTTAAAACTTTCACTAAATAAGAAGTCTAATCAATTCAAATAAAAAAAATCCTTAAATGACATAAAATAAACTGATACTTATTGTATTTATGACTTTATTAATGATTTATATTCAAATAGAACATGTTTCATGCAGTTTAAATTACATAGAACAAATTAACGACAGCTTTCACTTAGTAAATATGTGGCCTGATGCAACACTGGCACATTACAGCACAAAAAGTGTAATAAGCTTTAAGCTGAGGCATAATTGTATTGATTCTTTTCGACTAACAGGCCTGGTTGCTTCTTGTTTTCTCCTCTTCAGTTCCCCCTCAAACATTACACCGTTGCCCAAATGTGGGTAATTTGTCGACATGCTGACCTCGAGCTATGAACACAATTCAATTTCACAAAACCAGCCAAGTAATACACCTGTGTAACCGCACACAAACACACTTAATCCATTGCCCAGAAAAGGACAAAATTGTTTTTATTTTATTTTTTTTCTTTGCGTTGTCGTTTCCAGAGCAGCAGAAACACACACTGAGCTGAGGAGAAGCGGGGCTGTTAATGTGTTTAGCAGAGCTCAGAGGAACCCAGAACATAGTTTATTTCTTTTTGCTTTGTGAAAACAGCAGCAGCTTTGTAACATAATACACCCAGCTATGCTGACACATTTCATTTAGTTTTTTTTCTTTTGCTAACATCTTGTTTTAAATCTGATGCAAATGTTCATTAAAACTTGTTTATCATCTGCTGTTACCCAAATTGTAGCTTACATAATATATGTGTGTATATATATATATATATATATATATAATTTCTTAGCCTAACCTTAAGTCAGTAGCAGTGTTGTCCTGAGCTGAACCTTCTGATCAGCACTTCCATCTGAGGCTGTAAGCTCTGTCAGCAGTCATCACCAGTCAACTATTTCAGCTGAGCTTCGATAACACAAGGCTAAGTTTACATTAAGTGTCACGGCGGGAGTTGGAATGAGTCTGTCTTGGTGAAAAATGTTCTACATTTTATAAAAAAAGTTGCAATCTGCCAGTTCTGACAACCATGTGATAAATTCTACAGATCCCACTCCTTAAAGCTGCAGATATACCATCTGGAGCTTCTTCTCCCACTCATACAGTCATATGAAAAAGTGTTTATGTCTCAGGTTTTGTTGAACCCTTTGGGTGATTTTAGGACATTTGGTTAAAACAGTGGGTGTATTTGTCAGAGCCACACAGATCACCAGTTACATACATGTTTCAGAGAAAACAATTTAATCTTCCATGAGTTGAAACATGAATTGGTCACATTCATTCCTTCTTCACACAGACCTGAGATTTTTCTCACCACACAGTGAGTTGACTCGGTGAATGTAAAGGCTGAAACACTGGTGTCTTACGTGGTAATTTATAGGTGTTGGTATTCATGTAAAACTATAAATCAGTCAGCGTGATAATCTTGAATGTTTTTATTGTTTGTTCCAAAGGATGGACTCACTCCCTTAATGCTGTCAGCCAAACACGCTCATTCTGAAGTCTGCAGCACTTTGCTGGACTGTGGTGCTGAAGTCAACGCCTCTGACAACACTGGCAGGTAAAAACACTTTTGACTCACACAGATAATGGGCAAATATATGTGTGCAAATGTTTTCTCAGTGTTCAGTAAATATTAAGGGGATCTGTGTGTTTTCTAGGACAGCCTTGATGCTTGCCGCCGAGTCGAATGCAGTATTTGAGGTTGAAGTCTTGGTTCGACGAGGAGCAGACCTGTCGGTCGTAGATTCAGACGGCCACGATGTTGTTCACTATGCCACGCTGTCAGGCAACTCTGAAACCAAAACTGCCCTCCTGGCTGCTCTGAACAAACATCAGCTTTTAGGTAAGAGTTATGAAAAATGTAACACCATCCAATCCATCCATCCATTTTCTTCCGCCTATCCGGGGTCGGGT